GTTTGGAGAGCAAAGGTGGGTGGTCTTCCTTTCTTCACCCTTCTTCTTGAACTATGAACAACTAAACACCTTCCTGCCCTCCCCAAACTAATTTTCTCAGCTGTTACCTAGGAGGATAGCTTTCTCCTAGGAGTCCAAAGTTGGAGAGGAGAGATTCATACTACAAGAAAAAGCAAAGAGAACAGAGCCTGAGGCAGGGTACACCTACATTTGTCCCAAAGCTGTATGTGGCTCTGGAGCATCACATGTGGCCTTCTAATGAGCCATGAAAAAGAAAAAACAAAAGACTCAAATGCATTGAGCTGACTCCATCAATCCAAGTAGTAGTGGTGTCCTTTTAAAATATACGACTTTATTTCAACATAGAAAGAGACATGTGGTAATGCTCTAATCAACCAGCAAGTAAAAAGTTCTTTTTAAAATCTAAAAAGTTAGGTGATGACACTTGAGAAGAATTTTGAGTATGACTTTTTGATACTGACCCTAGTGACTTCTGGCACCTTTCCTCAATAGAGTGGGCCACTCTACATCTCCATATAAGGCTACTGGGATCTGTGTTGATTAGGTCTGAGTGGTTGCCTGGAAGGACCCTTCATTAGTTGAGCCCTTTGTCAATGCCATTGACCCTCTAATTTCCTTGAGCCCCTCAGTAGGAGGTTAGTTCTCAATTTACTGTCCATTGGGCTTTACATAGGACAAACTCAAGAGAGAGCAGGACAGTTCCAATTAGCCTAGCGGTGATGGCGAACCTTTTGAACTTGGTGTGTCAGCATTTTGAAAAACCCTAACTTAACTCTGATGCCGTATCACATATAGAAATTTTTTGATATTTGCAACCATAGTAAAACAAAGATTTATATTTTTGATATTTATTTTATATATTTAAATACCATTTAACAAAGAAAAATCAACCGAAAATGAGTTCACGGCCTGTCACCTCTGACATACGTGTCACAGGTTCGCCATGACTGGTATAGGTCATCCCTGTCAACTTTCTATTGGCTGCAGCCCAGTCACAGGCCTCAGCTAACTTCAGAGGAAGGTGGTAAATGTAACTTATTTTAATGCCAGGAGGAAGTCTGCCTTCCCATGTTGTCAGTACTGATAGCTAATGTTATTATGCATTCTAAATTTAAGTATAAATCACTGTTCCTTTATCCAATTCATTATTAATTTAGTCTGTTGCAGGATGTTTAAATAATGTTAGTGATGCATACTTTTTCAGCAGTATCATTGACCTAAAAGTTTCAATGACTAGACTTTCATGACAACATTATCTCTTGACTATGGTAGTGGATCCATGAGCCTACACATGTGATCAAATCGCATAGATCTAAACACACACACACACACACACACACACACACACACACACACGACTAAAACTGGGGAATGCTAAACAAAATTGGTGGATTGCATCAATGTTAATATCCTGGTTGTGAGAATGTACTGTAGTTTTTCAAGATGTTATTGTTTGGGTAAACTGGGTAAAGAGTGCATGAGATCTCTGTATTATTTCTTACAACTGTATGTGAATCTATAATGATTTCAAAATAAAAAGTTTAATTTTTATTTTTAAAAAATATATTTTAATTGATTTCAGAGAGAAAGGGAGAGGGAGAGAGAGAGATAGAAACATCAATGATAAGAGAGAATCATTGACTGATTGCCTGCTCCACACCCCACACCGGGGATCGAGCCTGCAACCCGGGCATGTGCCCTGACTGGGAATTGAACCGTGACCTCCTGGTTTATAGATCAATGCTCAACCACTAAGCCATGCTGGCTGGGCAGAAAGTTTAATTTTTTAAAAACCTGAATGTACAAAAGGAGCACAATCATGGGGAAATCTGTATTTGAATGATTACAGATTTGTTTGTGCAAAATGCATTTGTATAAATACATGTATAAATGCATGCCCATGGGTGCACATGCTTGCACATCTTACAAAGGGCTGTCTTTGTCTCTGTTTTTCCATGGGCTTCCCCTGACTGGTTGGCCTAACCTGGCTTCCTGCCTGCCTTTGCAGATACCTCTCCCAGACAACGGATCCAGAATCTTAGCCGCTTTGTATGGAAGCAGGCGACAGTGGCCAGTGAACTATGGGAGAAGCTGACAGCCCGCTGTGTGGATCAGCACCGCCACATTGAGCACACTCTGGAGCAGCTGTTGGAGATCCAAGGGGCAATGGAGGAATTAAGTACTACTCTGACTCAGGCTGAGGGAGTCCGAGCCACTTGGGAGCCCATTGGGGATCTCTTCATTGATTCACTCCCTGACCACATCCAGGCTCTTAAGGTATATAGGCCCCCTCACCTGGCTACAGTCCACCCTGATACCTGACACTCCTCCCAGACACTGACAATGTTTCTGCTCCTGAGAGGCCATTGTTGACCAGCACTACAACCAAGCCTATCAATTTATGTGCTGGATTTGGGGGCTGGTTTTGCTGGAGTCTCCTCTGTCATCTACTGTCTTCTCTTTCTCTGATGTTTTCTGTGAGTAGGAAAGGAAGAGGATAAGGGCAGTGGCCACCTATATGTTAGTCCTGTTACCCTAATAGGGAAGCACCTAGGTTGTGCTGTTGGATCAAAATCTTGGAGTAAAGAGGGAGGAGTTGAGGTGAATAACTAATTGTTTATCTTTCCCACTATCTGTCCACTGTGGGACTTGGGCTCTGATTCCACAGCTATTCAAAGAAGAATTCTCCCCCATGAAAGATGGAGTGAAGTTGGTGAATGATCTGGCCCATCAACTTGCCATTTCTGATGTGCACTTGTCAATGGAGAACTCCCGGGCCCTGGAGCAGATCAACATCCGGTGGAAACAGCTGCAGGTAGAGAATTCTTGAGTGAGCCATGGGGAAGAGCCTCAATATGACTAGGCTTGGGAGGAACTTCTCTAGACCCAAAGGAAGTGAAGGTGCATTGAAATGGGACCTATATAGGAGAAAAATTGTAATTTGGGGCCAGGTAACAGGCTTCTCAACCTCTAAGCTACAAGGAGTACTTGAAATGAGGATCTGAGAGGGACCTGTCTAATATGGATACAGGGACAAAGAGTGACTGTGACCCTAGCAGTTGCTCAGTGGTTAGAGCTTCATCCCACAGACTGAAAGGTCGCAGGTTTGATTCTGGTCAAGGGCACATACCTTGTTTGCAGGCTCAATCCCTGGCCCCAGTTGGGAGTGTGCGGGAGGTAAATTGATATTTATTTTATATATTTAAATACCATTTAACAAAGAAAAATCAACCGAAAAAATGAGTTCACGTGTCAGAGGTTCGCCATCACTGGCCTAGAGTTTAGAGATATGAATCTACTTCTGAGGGTAGGTCTGAAAGAGGAAGAAGAAACCTACAGTTTAGGAGCCTAGGTGGAAAAGTTGGGCATGTTACACTAACTTCTCTGGGGTTGGTCTTTCATGAAATGCATCCCTTCTTTGGATGGAAGTGGGCAGCAGACACTAATGCAAAATCACATTTCAGTGTTATGTAAATAGGACTCTGGATGATTTGCCTCACTGTGCCTCTTAAAATATTTTACTCATTTACCATGCCCATTTTTAAAGAATATGAGGAAATCCTCATGATAAAATAGATGGAAAACAACATTATCTCTTGACTATGGTAGTGGATCCATGAGCCTACACATGTGATCAAATCGCATAGATCTAAACACACACACACACACACACACACACACACACGCACACACACACAAACGAGGGGGCGGTGAGGCTTGACTTAGAAAGGCAGTCATATTGCCAACCCTGAGGATGCGGAGGGGATCAGGCCTTTCGCTTCTGGAAGCTCTGGGTGGAATGAAGAACGTTTTTCATTGTAAACAATCCCTTCCGAAGTACCTCTTAATTGACAGGAGTGGAAAATACGTTGGGAGACAGGCTGATGGTGGCCCCACTGGTAATTAAGAAAGTAAAAGAAAGGGGCCTCTTTTAGGCCAGAGTGGGAGCAGGACCTTCGTGGCCGCCCCCGTTTGCTCTAAATCAAAGAACCCCATCTTGGGCAGAGGACAGAGCCAAGGAGGCCGCAGTCC